AATACAACGCAATAAAAGTTTGACCTTTTAAATCAGAACACTGAAGAGAAAATAAGGGCCGAAGGGAAGATGAGGCTCGCGAATCAGTTTACATTTTTTCCCAAACTAACAAAATTCAAATTTTGAATTGAAATTCCCAAAATTCCTGTACGGTAGATTCCGGGTAATGCTTGCCGGAAAACAACTGCTTTCCAGACTAATATCACGGCAGGCATTTAATTTTATCCGGACATACATTTGCGCAACTTTTCCCAATTAGGAAATCCTTGAGATACTAATCGTAAGGAACGGCCTCGATGAAATCAGCTCAATGACCACCTATAGCTATAGACCAATAATATTGTCATGTGAATTGGAAACTGTTGTGCAATACGTAGCAAAAATTATATATTTTTTACCTAAAAGGAGGCACCGGTTGGTCCAGTTTCCGAAGCCCCGATATATTCGGAGGGTACGCCGGCATCATCAACGAATGAGCACTCACACCACGAAGTGAGTGATCATCGGGCCCGAGAATCGTGTGCCCTGAGTAAGCGCAATGAGCCAAGAATGACATCCTTCTGCCTTAGTGGCAAGCCAATATGACTTTGAGATTCGCGAATAGAGAGGGCAGCAATCAAACCAACAATTTTAATAAATTAGTTGGAGATCCAAGAGAAGATATCGATAGTCCATCCGATTTTCTTTCTTTTTCCAGAGGGTATTGACTGTACTCGAAGTTGTAAACTTCACGACAAATATCGTTTTACTTTGATGATCAAGTAGAACTACATCAGGCGTATTGACTTGTATCAACCTGAGGATGGGGAATGAATAGTTCCAATTTCCGATAAATTTGGCACTTCTCATTCTCCATAACGGATTAAATATCCCCCGGAGCTTAAGACGGTAATAAAACGCTATTGGGGCCGCGTAACGTTGATGGATATTATATAGCTGGGACCTTGTGCTGGACAAGCTGACAGCAAATGATTAAGGGTCTCATGCCTGCCTCGCGGCAGGCCTTGCAACTATTTTCGGGAACCTGTGAGAGAGTACGTCTTAACTACAGTAAAGTAGTTAGTCCTAAGCAGAGAAGAAGCATCCCTTGAGAAATCATACGTACAAGAAAAATAAATATTTCGAATTGAAATTGAAAACTGTCACCCCTTCCAACGTTCCTTCCTGCACGTAGTTTTTGATTAATTCCTGCCTGAAAACAACTACTTGGCTAATACCACGACGCACATTAGGTTAAATCCGACGGGCATTTGTGCAGGTACATTTAAGAATTTTTAGCTTTTTATGCCAGAAACTTAGATTTTTTTGTTGTTTCCATCAGTCAGAGGATTTGAGAACAAGAAAATTGATTTTGACTTACAGAAAGAAGTCGTGCTTTAATATTGCTTCAAAATCTACCAAGCTTTTTCTTGTTTCACGTTAAGGTGCGTATTCACCAAAAAAGTAAGCACGAGCGAACAAGAGTGAACGAGCATTCTGCATCAATAATCGTCTGGTGAGTACGGGCTAGCGAGCGAGCGAACGTATGCTTGTTCGAGTTCAGAAAAGATCGAGAAGAAGGCGGTACATCAAAAGATGCTCGCACCTTTTGATGGATCAACTACGACTACGAACTTGAAGATATTCGCTCTGGTGTGGACGAGACATCAATATGTCGAGCGAACACGAGCAAACATACACGAATGCTCGCTCATGCTCGCTCGTGCCCGCTTTTTTGTGAATACGCACCTTTAGTTCTAATAGGTTTTTTATACCTTTCTTGATAATTGTACGTGTTTTAACAACCTACGTAGTTCATTGTTTTCATTACCTTAATGAGACAATTGATGATAACCAGAATTGTTCAGCGCTGAAAATTACCTACTTGAATCATCAAAATGTTTTTTTTTTAGAAAAATGTGTCGGGACTAGTGATTGGTGAATTATTATTTAGACGAACACAGCGTTTATTAACAATAAAATTTATTAACAACAAAATACAACGACAAACAATACGAAACAGAAAATTACAGGGTAACCTCGAGGCACTAAGTCTTTTCTCGATCAGCGAGGAGACTCTAGAGCCAGTTCAGCTCTCGACGGAAACCTCAGAATAAGAAACAGTTGTTCACGGCCGAAATCCCAAAACAGTATGAATTGCCTCTGCTAAAAAAATGTTCGAAGTAAGTCTCGAAAAGTCATCACTGCCAATGGTCGGGGTCATAAATATAGTCAAGAAGGGTCAACCACTTGGGCCCGAATTCCTTGTCTTAATCCTTAATCCATAAGAGTACGAGTATCTACTCGGAACATCCCAAGTGGTGTCGTTTTAAATATTCATCTGTTTTTCGGCAATAAACTTTCGTTTCGAGAGAAGAGAGCATTTCAATGATATGCGATAAGAAAATAGGAAAATGATAACTGAAAATTAAAATAAGGAATTAACATAAAAACCCAAGCCGATGGATATTTTGGACGGCTGCTCGATAATAGACTTATGAATTTTCTAACAAAAATTTATAATACAAAATAAAAATCAATAAAGAAATAAAACGTTTCTGAAGTAAGTAATTGTAGGAAAAACCCTCCAAATGTAAATGATAAAATCCTGTGAGAATTATATGATTCCAATTATCTAAAAAAATATGACATATTTTTTACTCTCCTATTACAAAAACTAGTTGAATTAATAAACATGTCACCTGTCGAAATTGAAATAATTCAAACTCAATAAATGTCTCGTCACAACAAAATCTTCGGCTAATATTTTGAAGTTTGGTCCACCACTTTGATATCTAAACGAGGTTTCGTTAGTAACAATAGTGGTGATTTTTTAACCACATTTCTGGTTACTTGAAACACATTTTAAGAATATTGGCTTCATAACATTTTCATTCAAATTTTCTGAGTAATTTTGGGTTGGAACAGGAAAAAAATTCGATGGTACCCACTGGGCGTGCCTTCCGTAACTCGGCCGCGTATCAATTTTCCTGTCGCGCTTGCATACATCATTTAAAAACCATTCCACTTCCGGGTGGTTTTTATAACTATCGATTTCATATCCGACCTCCGAGTTCTCAAGTGCTTTTGTACATGGGTTTACATTGCAGTAAATTATCACAACTATATAACATGGTAGAGATACGTTGTCTTGAATGGCATATAAATTAATTATCAGTTGAGAGTCTCGTTCTAAAACTGGAATAATCACAAGCCATCATTACTGAAATGGTACCTGTCTAATATTCAGAATTGAAAAATAATGAGAATTCAAATAATTTTTGAAGTATACTATATGTGAGAACCTTGTTTTATCTGACTTGTTCAATTTTTGAGCACAAAGTCTCTTTGAAATTGATTTTGTATAATTATCCATGCGAATTTCTCATAAAAAATGGTAGGCAGGTGACCAAAGGTGGCAATTGATATCCCCCTAAGGGAAAGGATAAAAGTGGAAAAAGTATATTTCAAAAAATGTTGTGTCGCTTGAAAATTATTTGAAAAAAACATTCCTTGCAATGTATGTTAAGTTATTTGGTTCTAGATGAACGAGGTTCAGAAAAATATTAGTCCCCATTAAATATTATGCACTTGTGTCATGGCTTCTTCCAATCATAGACACACTTCTCAAACTCTTTTAATGTCATCAATGCTTGTGAAACGACTGCCTTTTCTCTTCTTTTTGGGAATAGGAAAAAGTCACACATATTCATGTTTGGCGAATATGTAGGCTGCGACATCGTTTTGCCAAAAATTCACGAACAAGCAATGAAGTGTGAGCACATTATCATCGTCTAAAGCCATGAATTGGTTTTCCACGAATCCGGATTTTTTTTCGGATTCCTCCACGCAAGTCATCAGTGACTTCTCTGCTTATGATTCGGCTATCATTCATAACCGTTTATTCCACTTTTCCAACGTTTTAATCGATTGCTGATGTGTTGGGGCGTTCAAGGCGTTCTCATTTTCAAAGTCTTCACGTCCTTCTTGAAAACTACTATTTGAAAGCTCTTGTTTTACTCATAGGCGACAGTTTGTTATCCATTGGTTAATTTTTTACGCAAAATTTTACACAAATTCACTGATCTATTTGTTTTAACAAAAGAAAATCGCCGAGCCCTGCCACATACAAAGTAAACATAGAATACAACTGAAAATTTTATCATACTTCAGGAGCATGTACCAACATATTAAGAAAATGGCAAAAGGGCGCTCCAAACCCGTGAAATTTCAAAATTTTGTTATTTTCTGAACATACCTCGTATAATAGTTAACGGTTTACCGCGACTGACTGTGAAATCGTTATTGACATGAGTCGGCTAATATTATCTACATGAGTCAAACTTGATATAGCAAGCGCCAAACGTGATGGCGAGCGCTCGCGCAGGTATAGTCTCTCCCAACTAAATTACTATTGGATTACGATAAGACCCTTGCCGGCCAGTGTCGTACCTATAATTAGTTTTGATTAGGGTAGCAAATGGAACATGACTACTTTGTAATTTCTTTTATAATTTTATTTAGTATTATGGGTAGTATTACTGGTTTTTTGTTTGGTGATGACATTTTTTCAGAAACAACACAAATTATTCAGATAATGCCAAACGCCACTAGCATTGGAGGACAAGTAATGATACGCCCCTGTGCAGAGCATTTGTATGTTTTGCAACAGCTGTAGTGGGGGTTACATTGAAAATGAGTTTGTGTGCATGGGGGAGACTCACCATTACGTTTGGCGCTTGCTGTATTTTATATTGCGAATCGCAATGTAAAAATGTCACAACAAATATTTAATTCTTTATAATCGCTTAGGTTTAATTAAGTTTAAGTTTTTATATTAGTTTTACACCTAATAATTCAAGAGGATCTAATCCACATTTCTATCTTCGGAAATATTTGTAATGATCACCAAGCCTCCCACAAAGTGTTGCTGATACATCTTATTCATCGTCAACTTGATAGACACGTAGATAGATGATAGATGTACGTAGACTCTATGAAGAATTTATTTTAATTTCCAGGTGTACCAACAACAGCTTACCGAGACGCGCACTCGTCGCCAGGTGGAGATCAGCGAAATCGACGGTCGTCTCGCTGAAAAGTATGAAGCCAAGCTCCAGGATGCTCTACAGGAACTCCGAGATCAGTATGAATCCCAGATGGCAACCAATCGTCATGAGATCGAATTGCTCTACGAGCAGAAGATTAAAAACCTGCAGGCGGCCAACGATAGACACCAGTCGTCTGCTGTAGGCGCTCTTGATGAACTGAGACAGGTCAGGACCAGGATCGATACTCTGACTTCGAGGATCTCAGACTTGGAGAATCAGAACGCTGGCCTGTCAGGCAGAGCTAGGGATCTTGAGAAGTTGTTGGAGGTATGTAAATTCGTAAGAGTAAGGTTTAGTTTCGAAAAAAGATGTTAGCGTCGATCTATTCAGAAGGTGATATTAACCTATAATCAACCTGTACTTCTCTGTCCATAGAATGAAAGGCTTCGGCATGCTGAAGACCTGGCTCTCCTTGAAAGGGAATTGCAAAGATATCGTGATGAGATGCAGGTGCAACTGCAGGAATATCAAGACCTTATGGACATCAAAGTGTCATTAGATTTGGAAATCGCCGCATATCGCAAACTACTCGAGTCAGAAGAAGCTAGACTGAACATCACTCCTCATGGTGAGTTTGTTGAATGTTCTTACTGGTCAGGGGTTATTGACATTTTTTTGCAGGTACCGAAAGGGAGGTATCCCATCACAGCGTGCGCAGCTCCTCTCAGCGCCGCACCCCAGTACGAGCGGGTGCCAAACGGAAGCGCACACTTCTTGAAGAGAGCCAGGAATCTAGTTTGTCTGACTACAGCGTCAACAGTTCCTCAAAAGGAGATATTGAAGTAGCTGATGTGGATCCTGAGGGACAGTATGTGAAATTGCACAACAAAAGTAACCAGGAGGTTGCTCTTGGAGGATGGCATGTTGTCAGACGTGTAGGCGACAATGAGACTCAGTTTAAATTCCACAGGTGGGTCGGGTTCTAGAGGGAGGGTGGGATTTTCAATAACTTGAATAACAAAGACACTAATTTACTTTGATTCTAGGTCGCTGAAGTTGGAAGGAAATGGTTTTGTTACGATTTGGAGCTCTGATCTCAACAAAGACCATGAACCGCCAAACAACTTGGTCATGAAAGGACAGAAATGGATTGTTGGAGATAACATGACTACAACAGTATTGAATAACAATGGTGAGGAGGTAGCAGTATCCGAAAGGTAAGATTGTTCTTAAAACGACTTTGCGTTGCAATTCATTTACCTTTAATTTCAGAGTAAAAAGGCAGTTATCCAGTTCATTACTGAGACACAGAGAAATGGCTGGAGGTTATCTTTCTGAAGAACTCCATCACCAACAAGGTGATCCTCAGGGTGATGAAAAGTGTCGAATAATGTGAAGTTCTGCACTCTAATGAAAAACTTTAGTATAAGATTGATATATACAGAAATAAGTCGATTTTATTCGGCCTGTTCCATAATGGTGAGGCAATGTGTTTATTCCTCAAAAACCAGCTTCCATCGGCCGGAAGAACTCGATTTTTTTATTGACAAAAAGCTTATTTGAATCGAACTAGAGAGAGAATGTATAACATTTCAGTATTTTTCTTCAGTGGTTGCCACACCTGTTATAAAATGATTTCTGTTTTTTCTGTTTTCATTTTATAGTATGTCTGGTTGTTTGTAATTTTGTTTTGAATAAATGGTGAAACCATCGTTTGTTTGTAACGAACGTAACCTTATTAATTAATATCAGATAGTTTAGGAAAATTCAGGTATTAGGGTAAATATATCAAACTTTTTTGACCTTGCATTTCTGAATTCTAACGTCGGTTTTATGAATCCAGTAACCAAATTGTCCACCTGGTTGTCGAATGTTCGATAAATCAGGTTTTTGTCAATATTTTATTTTTTGTACTAAAAACGAGTTTATTTGTTTGAGCCTCCATGAAGGGATTCGAAAAAGATTTTTTGCGGTGTTTATGAAGACTTTTATATATTTTTATTTTATATAAGTATTCTACTATTATATGGAGTCGACAAAAATCTTTACTTGGGCATAACATTATCGGTTGTGTTAGGCAATTTTTTTTGTTGACTGACCTCGAGAGAAAAAACACTTCATTTTTGTCTTTTACATCTTCACCATCCTGCATTTTTTTAACATTTTGGTATAGGTTTAAGTATAATTATATGCTTCGTTTGTAATTTGTGTTCAATAAAAAGAATTTGAATATATCTAGTTTTTATTGTGCCTCGTGGACAAATTTTTATTTGTAAGTCTAGAATTAAGTACTAGTTCAAAACAGTTTGTAGATTTAGGTTATGTTGTATCTCTTGCAAATTTGATGTTTTTCACAAATATTACAAATAAAGTATATTTTCACCAAGTACAGTTTCATTCATAACCAGATTCAAATGTACTACGGTAGAATACAAAAGTGCAGGTTGATCCACACATTCACATAAATTTTTATTGGTTGTATTTTAAAAAAATTGTAAGGGAACTGACGAGTACCACAAAGTGGATTTGCTGAATTTTGAATAGATCAGAAAAAAAAATATGATAATTTGTTATTAAATTGAAGTTTCTTCTTCATTATAAAATCTAAATGGTATAAGAATATTGCCAAGGTTAATGGAACATTGTGTTTTTGTATAACTAGAACCTGTTATATTTTAAGGTCACTTAGGTAGAAAATTGAGTACATTTTCTGGCTTTCCAAAAATATTTCTGTTCATAATTGTCAAGTTCAAGGATATCATAAGTAATGTCTCCTTAAAATATTGCTTCATCAAGGTGAGTCAAAATTATTTAAAAATGCCGTTTTTTTAAAACTCATAGTGATACTTTCTGAATGAATGGAAGCAATTGACACGAATTTTTAGGTACTAGATTGAGCATGTAGTTTTTAATTACAATATAATGTGAACATCAGCTCAAGTTCAACTTAGAAGTTGCTTATTTAATCCTCACAATTTCGTTTAGGCAAGTGACGTGTGAAAGGAGATTTTCTGCGCTGCAGCTCAATAAGACAAGACATTTGTCTTTACCACAATGTATGATTGAAAATAGATACATAAGTGCATCTCATTATCATTTATAGTATCCCATTTATATAGGAATGTAGGCTTTCACGGCTGACGTCAGTGTTTTGGTTGGTTTCCTGATTTTGCCGTGGTCTTCTGTAATTATAATCTCCAAACGTTTCAACTGCAACTGTAGCAGTCATCTTCAGTGGCGTGGTCGAAGTACTCTTCTTGACGTATCAAGCCACCAGGGCGCTTCCATTGCAGTCCCACCCTGCCTTCATTTACATTTTTGTTCTGCAAAATAATTTCAGCAGAAACTTTCCTATATTTCAGTTTCGAAATATGTTCAAAAGCATGAATATTTCATCTTATGAGAATTTTCTGGTAAAATTGATTCATAGCTATAAATATATGTATTACAGTAATTTTATAACTGGACATGATGTCATACTATGTCGTAGATATGGAAATACTTGAGTAATCCACAGTTAGATAGAATGTATACACGTGAATTCAGAATGAAATGACATCATCATCCTACCTGCCATGTTGTCATTAAACGAAAATTTGGAAAAATATTTATTGATATTAGTACTTCAATATCGTCAATAATGAAAATTTATGAATAATTCGAATATTCCGGTCATTTTCTATTTTGAGTACAACTCTATGATAGTATAATAATATATATATACTTTCGAATACCTACTTATCAGAAATGTGACAACCCTGCGATGAATTATAATTTTAAACCAAATATATGACATCACTTGTTCATTGTTATGTGAAAAGGAAAACAGCGCTTCACTATGAGAGATGATGATGATTGTACACTGACGTCACGGTAAAATTACTAAGATTAATATTATCGTTCCTATATTCAATTCATGACGATCGACATTTAGGTATTAGGTACTTATAATCTAAGAGCACTGACCGATGTTTCCAAAATTTTCATCTTTATTGATGCTCAATCAATCTTATGTTACAACACGAACAATTCTCTAAAATTGATCACTGTTGCTTTGTCTACTTAGACGTAACATTAGTTTTTCATCTTCATTCAAAAAGTAAGTCTACTAATCATGAGTCCATAATTGAATAGGGAGTAGGGAGGTATCTATTTTTGGAGCTGAACTGAATTCTAAACGTTCAATTCTACTATAGATGATTACGGGCAATGAATTTCAAAAATCTATATGTAAACAGTAATAGCGGGTTTATGCAAAACTAAACCCAATTAGTAACCAAGTAAGTAAGAAAAATGTCTTCTTAAGCACATCTTGATATAACCATTATTATTTTTCATTCAATATTATGCAATACCACTGAAAATAATTCTATATGAACAAAAAAAATGTTCATCGGGGCCTTTTTACACATATATTATCTTTCTTATGCTCTCGCCATTCTATAATGTCAGGGCATTGTCATTAGAATACGACAGAGTAGTTTATGATGCGAGTAGCCGAGATTAGAATACTTATGTTTGTAACTATGTTTAATTTTTTTATGTCACAATCTAAAGTGACAATGTTTATATCTAAAAGTGATTTGACGTAAAATAGATCTGTTCAAAGGGTCTTGCTTTCAAGATGACAAATAGATATGCTTTTTATAATTAAAAATATTAACTTTTTAAAAATTACGTAGGTCTGGGATCTTGAACTGATTGCTGTTAAACAAATAACCCAGTCTTTCAACACTATGATAAACTACAAACAATAAATTAATACTTTGCGTGACCTCGTCATCAAGTAAACCAACATTAAAATTTAGTAAGAAAGGTAAAAGTACCAAAAGAAGTAGTAAATATTAAAAAATTTACATATGGACATATACTTCTCAGGAAAAACTCAAATTGTTTTATTTTTTGATAAAATCCAAATTCAATTAGATTTTATGCACATTGAATTACACAGCATAAAATATTAATGTCATAAAACGAGATTTTGATAATTTCATTTTACCAAGGTTTAAAAAGTATATATTGAAAACAATAATGAAAGTTGAAATCATGTATATCAGTTGGTTCATAGTTTTGTTTAGTATAAGTACCTAAAATAGCCTTTTTTAGGCTTACACCGTGTATGAAAATATAGTCAATAAATTATGTTCATTTATTCGTGCAGAAAATTCTGCACTGTTGAGTCCATCACATATTTATTTCTAAGGTCAGTAGCAAGCTGTAGACAAAACCATCAATGCACAATAAAATGATGTGAATACTTCATTGAGGTGGATATGGAATCTGGAAGGATTCTCCTGAGGAAATGAATAAACTTGCCTATGATGGTAGTACGTGAGCTTTTAAACGCCAAAGTGTTGCTATGTCGTGATGGACTGCTAATTACAAACCAGGATTATTGTTGTATCAGAAATTTTGACTTTGAAGTTTGAAATACAAACGCCACTCGTGGCGCCTTCGCTTGGGTTGTTTTATTTTAATTCATGATCAAATCTGATTCAAATCGTGGCCTATTTCCAAATTTCAATATCCTGAACGGAAAAAAGTTGGAGAGAGAAATTCCATTAACTGAGATATCTCAGGTCCACATGAATAAGAATATAAAAATACGCGCGTTTCCTATAAACATGACATCTGACACTAATGACGTATACACAGAGTAGCCAACTTAGAAAAAAATACATGTGTTCCACATGAAATCCATACCCGATATAATTTTTTCAAGAATTTACGGCAAGAGCCGTACAGAATGATGATATTTGAGAGTCTCTCCTCAACAACTCATCAAGAATCCAAACCAGACAGTTTGACTCACTTATAATTATTGTTTTAGCGCATGACGATAATGAAAAGTGCTTAAGGTTTGAGTCAGAAACACAGAACTGAAACAAGCTGGGCTTCAATTCTGTGATCAGGAACAATTTGCTGTTTTTATTAATGAAAAACATCAGTTGCAACATGAATTGATGCTTTGGGTTTTTGCATCCACTTGATGACTGATCGGAATTGCTTGAGCAAATTTAAATTCTGAATGGGCCAAATATTCCGTTGTCTAATAGTACGAAACCTGATTCAACCGTGGTCTCACTAAGTATATATCATGATCAACTGAAATTCAGAAATCGGAATTATAAATTTATGATCATATGTTTAGGTACAATAATTTCGACATTTTTATTCCGAAAAAGATAATTTACAGAGATTAGAGGTTACAATATATACAAAAAAACATTTGTGTTAATCTTGTTCAATGTCAACTATTTATTTCACACTTGGCTGACTTGTGTTGAGATTGTTGGGAAGATTATTTCTTATGTTGGCTTTCTTGTATAAATAGTTTTCTCAGATTGACATTTCATTTTTGTCTTGTCATTTTAAAAATGGCTGCAGCTGCGGTGCAACAGTCAAATGTCAGTGAGTATTTATCTAAAAAACAGCAAGAAAGCCCTAAAGAACTGGGATCTGTATGGGCAGAACTTGAAGAACTTCACAACAAAAAGTAAGCATTCTTATGAACTTAAAATATACTGTATCAGGATAATGGTAACTGTCTCTTTTCCAAACTTTCACAGATTATGGCATCAGTTGACTCTCAAACTCCTCGCCTTCATAAAGAAACCAGAGCTGCAGAAGGGAGACAACTTAATTCAACTTTATCACAATTTCATACAAACCTTCGAAAACAAGTAAGTCATTGCTTTTGTCCTAACCTCAAAATACATTCTTTGTTCATCTTTTCAGAATAAACCCTTTATCTTTGGTAGAAATAGTAGCCCTGGTAGTGGAGCAGTACAAAGACCCTAAAGAAGCAGTTACATTTCTGGAGAAGACTGAGCCGAAAGTTAAAATCAACCCTGATGCCCAAAATTTATGTAAAGTTTTAGCAGGTCAAATTCATCTTGAAAAACTAAATGATTTAGATGCCACAAAAAAGATTATAGAAGAAGTGGAAGCTACACTTGATAATGCAGATGGGATTACTGCCGTTCATGGAAGGTTTTATCTTCTTGCTTCTCAATATTATAGGTGAGTTAGACAGGAATATATCAACATATTAGTGTTATTTTTTATGTGAGATTTAATTGGAAAATTTTTATCTTTTGGTTTGTGTTATTTATTAAAAAAAATCATTAAACTTACTTATTTTTGTCTCCTGATCACGAATTTCAAGTCTAAACTTGCCACTTACACTTGGGACAGTGAGAGAAAAGTAATGAGGATGATAATGTGATTATTTTTCTGAACAATCTAACGTTTTAATGAGAAATTGCCTTTATTTTTGAAATTCACTGAAAAGTATTCCAATTTTATCATTTTGGGTTAAAATTCTTCTGCACTTCATTATTTTGCAGATATATCTCACATTCCATATTTCCACTCTGCCATGTGGCAATGTAAATATACAATAGTAATATGACTTTGATGTACTGAGTGCAAGCTATCAACTAAACAAGAGCTCTTCTTGATGACATTCAACTTATACACTTTATGCAATTTTTAAGGAATGTAGAATGACACCTTACAATTGCACTTTTTTTTATACAAAACGTTTCATTCCCTCAAAATTGTTTTTTTTTTTCAGCAAACTTCATGATAGTTATTTATGAAACCAAATGGCAGTATTACAAAATTGAACTAGAAATGAATATAGTGCTGTTATAGTTATATAATGAAATCTAACTTCTTTTTTGTCATTTAGAATGTGCCTTCAATAATTGATTTCATGTGAATTGAGAAATTACCATTTACATGTTGATGATTAAGAGAGAAACTTTAAAAAACACTTGTTTATCTGGGCAAAAACTAATTGAAATTTTCCTAATTTAGCAATACAATTTTAATTTTAAGAATTTTACTTTTCATGATATTGCTAAAAAACGATACCAAAAATTCTAGTGAAGTGATATCAGTTAGAACATAAATGGGGTTGTTTTGGTGAAACTAAGTTTTTTATTCTATGAAGAAAATATTTGAAATGGGTGTAAAGGTTCACAGCATGTGATCGTTATTATTACTAGAAGTGAGTACTTGAAACAGTGGATTTTTTGATAATTTCAACTTGAAAGTAACTGTATCTCCTAACATAGACCAGGGCAGTAAATGTTGACTACAGATTCGTGATCAGGAGAGAAAATATATGTAGGAATAATAAAAAAAATACCGATAGCTATCAAAACAAATAGTGACTTAGGGGCATATAGTCTCAACTTGTTTTAGTGCTATTTTTCATGTGATATTTATAGTTTGTACTTTTTTTTTCTCTAGAATTCAAGGTGACCACGCTCAGTACTATAGAACTGCCCTAAGATATCTTGGTTGTATAGATTTAGAATCTTTATCAGAAGAAATTAAAGTGCAGCATGCCTTTTTTTTGGGCCTGGCTGCTTTACTAGGAGAAGGAGTATACAATCTAGGAGAGCTTTTAGCCCATTCAGTTTTGGATTCTCTGAAATCGACAGAAAATGCCTGGTTGATTGAACTGTTGTATGCTTTCAATTCCGGTGATATCAATAAATTCGAATCTATGAAATCTCAGTGGGGAGCAATAGCTGATCTTGCTGCTCAAGAACTGTTCTTGAGGCAAAAAATATCACTTTTGTGTTTGATGGAGGTAAGGAACAATGATTGAAATGAGAATGAATTTATATTCAGATGATTTTTGCAGATGACCTTCAAAAGACCGTCCTATAATAGGCAGTTGACGTTTGCAGAAATTTCAAGAGAAACAAAACTACCCATTAATGAAATTGAGCTATTGGTTATGAAAGCTCTTTCCCAAGGACTTGTGAAGGGTGCTATTGATCAGGTACATCATGAGAATCTGAATATATAAAAATATCTAGTTTTAGTAAAAATAGATCTGAACATAAACAATGTCTATGACTGTTTATATCTATTACTTCTATCTTTTTGAAGATCGGATTACAACTACTTCTGTCATTCAATTGTAGCCTTGAAGGAAGAGAGATATACTTTCAATTCTATTTTGCACCAAATTGAAGCTGTTGAGATAAATGTAGTTCATGAAATATATATTCAAGTAACACTTTATTATGAAGTTTTCACTGGGCAGTTTACGAAATCTATACAATAGTTTCCCCAAGCGTTTTCATACTATTTATGAAATAATAATAATGAAGAAAAGAGAAATGAAACTTTCTATGTTTTTTACCACTTATTTGTACTTTTATTACTGCATTTTCGTCCTATACGGACATTTTTAAACTTTATTATATAAGTTTGAAAATGTCTGTACAGGACGAAACTGCAGTAACGTTAGTTACAAATAAAAATGGTAAAAAACATAGAAAGTTTTATTTCTCTTTTCTTCATTATGATTTCCTACCACGTAGTAACGGCTACATCCATCAATTTATTGAAATAATAATAATTGAATTAATTCATTTATGCTCAAATACAATTGAGAATTATTCACAAATTTTTACCTGGAGTTGAAAGTTATGTGAAAACTTGAAATGACATCTATGAAAATATAAAAACATTCCAAAATATGTACGGAAATTGTTGAAAACAAAATCTTCAGCAATTCTGATGTGGAGGGAGTTCAGATAATGAGGAATTTCGTTATTTTGAACCTATCATGTAAAATTGACTTTTGTTCCTTGGAAATCTTTGCCAGTGTTCTATTTTTGATAATCAGTTTTGAATGATCTTACTATTTTCATTCAGAAGTGTTTTGTGTTCATTCTGACAAACCTTTCTCTTTTAACTCTATCACAGAACTAGAAAATATGTTGTTCAAAATTGGATATCAGCCAAATAACTGACAGAATATAACTACAATTTTAGAAAAAGCAGTAAGCATCGAATAACATTTTGTGGGTGTAATACTGATATATTGTATTTGAATCCAAATTGGAACCAGAAGCATATTTGAACATACATTTTTCTAGGTTGCCAATACTGTAAACATGACCTGGGTACAACCCCGTGTTTTAAACCTCATGCAGATCTCTGGTATGGTTGAGAGGTTCAACGAATGGTGCGAACATGTGGGCACCATGGAAAACCTTTTAGAAGAAAAAGCCAGTGAAATATTAACTTTGTAGTAGGTACTAATGATAACATGTTTTTTGGATATAATTTCTAAAACAGTTGTGAAAATTTGTGCAAAAGAGTAAATAAAGTGTTGATTCCTACTATTTTTTAATTTTTGTTCATATTTTGTAGTCCTTTGAATTGAACTTTCTTTTCTAAGAAATTAGGCATATGTGTGGGGTGTTGAAGTACCAATCTTGGCATACACTGGAATTTTTGAGTGATAATGACAAAGATACTGTGCTTATGATGCACTGTTTGGAACCTTTGGTGTAGTAATGAATATAACTGGAGTTTTTTCCCAACACCAAATCGTTATTTATAACACCTCGACACGTGTTTCGATCACCAAGTGATCATCTTCAAAGAGGAAGATTAAATCTTCCTCTTTGAAGTAACAGCTCTATCTCATGTGTTTTTGAATATGTTATTATTTTTATCAAGTATTTCAGTTCTATCATAATATTCAGATGATTCTACAATTAATACAGAAAAAACGAATATAATATTTTATTAATTTACTTGTTACAAAAAGTTTCACTCAAGTATATTAATCATTTTTAAAACGATAAAAGCTGTATACATAAATTTAGGAAAAATATATGAATATCTAATGGCATTGATTTATATTGCTCAACAAATACAATTATTGCTAACAAAATACATAACGGCTGGATAATTTGGCACTATTGCACATAAAAATTTAAATCTTCATCTATATTTAAAGCTTATAAAAATAACTATTTCTGGGCAAGGCAATTCTACATCACTTGTGGTATATTTTAAAACCTATGCTAGTTGGTATCGGTGAACTTTTTTAATGAGAACATAATTTCATAAGAGATTATTTAAATTTTAGGATTGTCTTGGGGTACTTACAAATATTTAGTATGATTAACGATTCTTTCAAGTTTTGGCACTATTATTTGGAAGCCTGTTAATTTATTTTTGTTTTACGATCAAAGCGGTGCCATATCTAAGTTGCATTATCGTTAATCATATGTATAAAGTTCTGGTTAGGTCAATGTTATCAAATAAATAAAGTTAGTCAAATATAAATTGTTTTGGTTATTAATTTAACTCGCAAAATATATCAAATTCTTTTCGAAAAATAAAATGGAAAATAAAAAAATTCAAAGTGGTATTCAAAATAGATCAAGAATAAATAACCGGTCTTTTCATGAAAGGGAAGTTGGTGACAGACAGAGTGACCCCTCCTGAATAAGCCATCGACTCTAATCACAAAAGTCTCCTTCGAAACGTCTTAGGCATATGCATACCAAGGTTGCTTTCGTACCCATCTCAACCTTCCGTGAGTTTGGGCATGGATTTTCACGCTGGCACTCTCTGCAGCTCTGACTGTTTCCTTGACACTTTGCATTAGATTCTGGGCATTTCCTTCCAGCATTTCAGTTGCTTCTCTGTCTTCTTCGGAACCTTATAGAAATATGAAAAGTTGGTAGTGTTTCAATATTCTTAATTAATAAGTTGTTATAAAGACGTGAATGGAGTTTGTATTGCGTACTATTCTTTTGACCATGGAAAGTGAATTATTGTATCAATTTGAAATGTAGCAATAAAAATAATACAAATACCATTTCGAAGAATAATAAAACCATCAAATTAAAGTTTTTTTAACATATAAAATAAAGACAGTATGAAATGATATTAAACGTTTGACAAGTAGGGCCTTAGGAGAATTGTTAAAATGATGATGAATTGTAGAAAATATTTCATTAAGAAATTCAATAGGACCACACAGAGTGACAAAAGCTAGTTTTTGACTGTTACATGTAAGAACTTGCAGATTTTATATCACAGAATAGGGAGATTTGCGGTTATTCCTACGAAAACTGAAGCCAAATACTGATAATTTGTTATCAATCAACAAGACCATCCCTCCTATTAAGTTTATGACTATTTTGTGATTATCATTGTAGTGTAGAAGTTACTTTATTGATGTTCAATTTCAATTACATTACGACTGAGTAATAGTGTAATAATTACATATTTGAATAAATAACACAAGAAAATATACTACCAAATTTCCAAATAAAATAAGTGAGAATTGATTGGTTCCTTGTGTGAGTAGATGTCAAAAAAGTAAAGTTGGATGGAATAACTTTTTTGATTCTCAGTTTTTATTTGAAAACTGTTAATTCGTGGTTGGAACGCAGCCTCAACCCAAATTTCCATAGTTAGATCTAATCTTCACATTTTTTGTCGAGTTGTGGGAATATTATAGAAATGTAGCTGCTGGGGGTCCATCGGAACCAGCAAAATTTTGAAAGTGGTCTATGATGAAAAAAGTTTGGGAACCTCTGGTTTAAAACAACTCTCATAAGACCAGACATTGCACATCCACCTTTACATGCTACAAATGTCATCAGAAACACCATATGATGGTTAATTTTAGCTAATAATTAAGAACAGTCTATTCTATAGTTGACCAACTTTTATAAAAAGAAACAAGCTCAAATATTCATAGATTTCAAGTGACAAAAAATGAAAATCTGTTCAGTAATAAGTTCTTGATTGGGATACTCTCTGTATGTTTTGAATGCTGGCATCATTTAAATTTATTTGATGTGTTATAGGTGTATGTTAGGACACCAGACCAAGGAACCATATTTGAGTATATACTGGATAAATACATTTACAACTGTAATAAAATGATTAAAATCTGAGTGTGTTGTAAATACTAATCCCAGCATCGTTTTGGTAGCTGAAATCTTATTTATATGAGGACAACTCTGTAAGTTATGTCTCAAATTCAATATCAAATTTTTTATTTGAAGAGATTGTTCAAAGTCTATACTGTGAGTATAGTAGATAAGATAATTTTTTGAAATATGATTTTTTCAAAATTAAATATAAGGATACAGACAAATTAACATGGAACTGCAATTTGAAAGAAAAATAATGGCAACGAAAGATATTATGGTAAAGTATGTACAGAAGAAAATGACTCGGTTAACTCACAACCCAATAAAGTAGTAGTATTGAATACCTACCTTAATAAATCATTAGAAATTAGTACTAGAATTGCAAATCTGCCATTAACTGAGATAAAGACAAAATACATGTTTCATAATGTATCACAGTCATGATACTTTTCAAATACATCATAATCTGATGTTGAGATTGTTGAACATTAATTTTGCCTAACAATATTCGATAATGAAATGTTATTACCTTTAATTTGTTTTCCTTCAACTAAGACAGTGCGAAAAGCAAATATACAGCATGAGTTGAATATCTTGTAAAAGAAAATGGCTAAGAAGTTTCCTTCTGAATCAGTATATTCAATCTAAATAAACAATTTTTTTCCTGAGAAGAACCCCATTCATTCGTTACAGGTTTCTAACAAAATACATGGACAATGAGAAAAAAATATTCTTATTTTTCGAAAAAAAACTTCTTAGACACAATAACTTGTACTAATATGACAGAAAACCACAAATTGCAATTTGAACAGGAGTAAAGCAACCTACATTAGTATCATTTCTCACCTTGAGATCCTAGCATAGTAGCTTTAACTGTAGTTAAAATCTTCAACTGGGTAGCAATCGTTGGAATTCTTTCACAAACTTGAAGTAGATTGGTTCTTATTCTTTTATCAGTGCATTCCCGTGCCAATTGTTTAGCTATTCTAGTCACTTCTGCGCTGGCATCTGCTATAGCTTTAGCTGTAGCTATAAGATTTCTCTTGGAACCTTGAACAAAAAAAGTGAGTGCCAATAGGGGATTTACCTCAAGAAGATAAAACCTTTATCATCATTGCGAACAAGCTCTGATAAATTAGCCATTAATTTTGCCATCCTTTGTGCAGCAGCAATAAGTTCGTTGTCCTTTGCCGACCACTGTTTTACTTCTCTGTGCAAGTTATGGGCTGCAACCTGGAAGAAAGAGTACAAATTGTCACAGATATTTCACACCTTTTGGAATAACTTCTTGTCTATGAAAGAAAATCAGATATCTGAATAAGCTACCAACCCAAAGTATGATACTACAGGCGTTCTCAATTGGCGTTTGGTATCTTCGGCAGATGACACAAAACTAATAGTGATTTGTAAGGTGGTTTTGTTTCTGGTATAATTAGCAAAAGTCAATAGTATGCTCATTTTATTGATTATTAAGCCAACAAAGGTACTCAGAAACACAGCTACTCTACAAATTGATCTCAATTTTACGTCAACCCCTGATGATATCAAAGGCCAATCGAGAACATTTCTTATAAGGCTTGAGTTTAGACTATGTTCGAATGCCAAAAGTCTTATAAGGTTGATTTAAATTTCAATATCAAAACCATGAGAAAAATCAAAATAGACAGCACAAGTTGTAAGATTACTGGGAGTCAATGCAGATACTAAACGAAATGTATCACACAGTTTGACATTAACTTAGGATATTATACCTTTAGTTTATTGAGAAAATATTAGTGGAAGTTATCATCTTGAAGGTGATAAAATATATTTAGGCTACTGTAAAATACTCAATTTCAATAAATGTAGAGGTGAGTACAGGTAGTCTAATGAGAGTCTGATGTTGGTTGAAGAGGAATTCATGTCCCAATTCTGAGTAGTTAATCGCAAAGTTATAGTCTCAAGAATCAATGTCGGCCAATATCAATTAATAATAAAAATGATCTCGTTTTACTATAATACCCTTATAAGTATAGATTATGTCAAATAACATCAAAATTGAAAGAGAAATTAAATAAACATATTCATCCAAAACGAGCATTTTCCCAATCACCAGAAATGCATTTCTTTTCGTTTATTTTTGGACTGATCTATTTGTTCATCATGAAAAGTCTTTTTTGTATTTTGGTAGTGTTCCATTATGCTTTTATGGCACATAATTAATACAATTGGGCCGACAAGAGAATGAAATGCATACTTTCATATAGCATTCATTTCTTTTAACAAGTGAAGAAGGGAGATAAAACGGATAACGTTTACTAATAATCTGCGAGAGCGTCTTGTTTGAATGATAGCTTGCAATCAGTACGTCAAAAGGAGATAGCTATAGAAAACCGAGTTGTCAACAATTTCTTAGATTTTCAGACGAATTGATGATGTATTACTATCATTTGAGTATGAAAGTATTTACATTGGACTTTTAATCACAGTAGATTATATTCATTTGGAACAATAGTTATAAAAAACAATATATCCAGTAAACAATTCACATATTTTTCACAACTTACCATTATTGGTTGACTGGGTAAGGGAGCAGTTTTGAAAACGTCATCTTCGTCGTCTGTTTCTGGTGGTGGTGGCCTTATAGGTGCGCTGTCATGAGGCAGAGGAGGTCTTGGAGGAGCCTGTTCTAAATGTCAAAAAAGCAATTTTGTAAATTATGAATCCTTTGACAAAATGGATACCATTCTCTGATAGAAGCTTGCTAACATTCACAACAAGTACATTAAAATTACCATCTTCAATGATATATTCAGGAATGAATCTTGTATGTCCTGTATGCATGTAACAAGAAAAAGTCAAGACATAAGATCAAAAATAACATTCAAGACCAAAAAAGGGAACAGTCAACAATATCACTTAAAAAAAACTTTTATTAAGGAATATTCAACATTAAAATAAACAAGCCAGAACACCAAAAAATTGTACAAAACTGATAAAGCATTTCTAGCAAAGCATTCAAGAGCAGCAGTGCAATGAGTATTACCAATACCACTAAAACAAATAAAACTCCATTGTTACATTTTTCATTGATCATCAGATTACTTTTTATTAACTCTATGCTTACTCCACAAGTTTAAAAACTCGGTTGAAAATAAAATATAAACAATGCAGTTTTATCAACAGAATGGAACTTATGTCATATCTTTCACCCAAGTTCAAATTCAAGCAGCCTGACATTTCCCATGCTTGAAAGTTTTTGAAGCCATAATGCCCCATTGAAAACATCCACCATTGCCATACTCTCAATTAAAATGAACAGATCAATCCACCCTACGAAAGCATAAAATAAAAAAATATATTTGAAATTACCTGGTTCTTGATAGTTAGGGGCAAGTTCTTGACAAAGCAAGTCTGAATTGTCGCCTAAAAGACGGCAATTTTAAAATCAATACCAAAGCAAAATATAATCTGCCGTCAATTCTTACTATTATATTTTTTTGATTCCCAAGAAAGAGTACAAAAGTACGGAATAACTAAATTTCCCTTGAAAATATGAGTTAAGCCCATTGTAATGTCTTTAGTAATGAATGAGAAAATGATTATAAAAATTGTCAGAGAATCTCATAGAAAATGTATTATTTATTAACTTTTTATCCTGAAAAAACAGAGCAAAATGTCAAAGTGATATTTATTATAAAGAGAAGACCTGTAGAATCTTTACGAGAAATGGTTTTTCATCAGATAGCATGGAACTCTGCATAGTTCTCATTATATTGATCAAAAATGTTACTGGGTTCAAAGGCCTAATGAGAAGTATTTGCTGTCGAAAATATCTATCTTTCTGTTAGATAGAAGCAAGTAATTTGAAAATGGAAGTGTTAATTTCTATGGGGAAGTTACATTTGTTGAATATGTTTCTGAGTTGACATTTGACTTTAATCAGCGAGAGCTCTGGTTTGGATGGTAGCTGGTACAGGTAGGCTATACAAATGTCAGTCATCATCAATTTCTTAGATTTGGGATCAATTGATGATATATTACTAATATTTGATATTAGTTCACATTGTTTACAAGCAGTTTATTGAAAAGTTAATAGGCTCGTTTTTTTTGCCAGTAATCAACTGTGGGCATTTAATATTTTACATGAATTTAACATAAATTTTAATAGCAAATTGGGCATGTCCTAATATTCTGCATACAGGAATATTTAAACTGCCACATATTAGAGTTGAAAAATGGAATATAAAATATTTTATGAAAGTCTGCATCAAAAGGTTAGGCTTTTCAGAGTAGTGGACACTTCATTTCGTTTTCAGTAGTTTGTCGGCTAATATTGCATGCCCAAACTAATGATGCATCTGTATTCTCGCGTTGACTCAACTGTAATAGCTTAGAAAGTTCGACGAGTTGTTGGTGAACGTGCACATATCGATTGGTATTTTTTAAGGTTAAGTGGATAGAACTTGATTTTTCATTAGTTGTTTTCAATATATTCTCTTCTGTTTTGTGTTATAAAATTATTGAATGAGAAAATGTGTGACTTGCAATTTACCAATATCGGCACCTTTTTTTAAATAGCTATTTTCAATTCTATGAGAATTCTGGACCTATTTTATCTAGGAGTACCAAATTAAAATTGTCATTCACATTTATCAAGTAAGGTTTTCAGCTTGAATCATAATTAATTATGATGAGTAGAACTGGATTTCCCAATTTTACACAACTGCAATAAAATTATATATCCAATTAAGATTTTAAGTAGTCTGAATTTAAGAGACATCAGAATAATACGACAGTAATAGCACCAACCTTCTGAGAAGGTCACATTTGGAATCTAAGTGTTGAGTGTTTAGAGTGCCTGACAGTCATGATAAGATAATGGGTAACGGCACCTTTATGGATATCTTTCACATAAACTTCACCTGTGCCCCGATGCTTCAGACTTCCTCTGACCAGTGGGTAGCCACTTCCAATCAGCTGGGAATACAAAAAAAAACTCAGAGCAATCACCTGAGTAGAAGACTATATAAAGAAATTGACGAATATATTATTGAGTCATTGAATGGAATCGTTTATTTTTTATAACTGACACTTATTAAAGAACCCCTAGGTTTAACATCTACAGAAATATTTGGTATTCTCCAGACTAATTTTTCTGTTGTATTGAAAACCACCACATTGTTGTGGGAACAATGTAACACAGTGACAAGTAACATTTTTTGAAAGGATTTCACCAACTATAATAAAGTAAAATTTGACAGCAGATTTGCAGAAATAATAAATAAATATAAAAACATTTGTCAATGGGAATTGAATTAACTTGAATATAGAGGGTATATTAGTACCTCTTGCCCACTTAGGCAATGGGCTGACCCGCCCTTGTTGATGGTGGGAGGGACTGAGAGTCCCAAACTCCCTGCCAGGTGTTGGTGTGTTTCTCAGCGGTTCGCCAACTACAATTTTAGCATTAACAAGGCAAACTACGTAGCATAGAATATGTATGCAAGGTTTTTTCAATAAAGGCATTATACCTAGAGAATGGTTTCGTGAAATAAATAATAATATTGTGGAAGTTTGAAGCTTATTAAAAAAAAGAAGGTTCTATATGTACAGGTTATACGTTTTACAACTAGAAGAGACCATGGAAATGAAAAGGTTCTACAAACTTGAAACACGTGTTTAGGTTTTGCAATATGTACAAATAATTGTAATTTTAATCCTTCTGAAATTGTAATTTATAGCATGACTCTTCTTTTCAAATTACTAAAATTCCTACAATGAAACATTAGGTAATATTAGTAATAACTAAATCAAAATTCATTCAAACCTGAAATGCACTGCTTTATCAATCATATGAAGTGATAAAACTGAAGTGGAATATATAAATGAAATACAATGCCTTTTTGAAAAATATTATAGAAGCCCCAAAAGTATACCTTTATCGATAAAGTAATTGCTTGGCGTAGACTCTGAAAAAGATAAGTAGTTAGTTAAAATATTATCGTTATATACAGATTAATGATTAATATATGGCTCTAATTTACAGAAAAATGTTAACTTGAGCTATTGAGTCTTTTATATAAAACGTCAGATGTGAGATGAGGCAAAAAATATTTTTATAAAATAAACTTCAAGTTTTGAATCAAGTTAAGTTTTAAATTTACAGAAACATTACACTTAAATGTGATTAGACTAAATGAACTGAAAATGAGTTTTATTGGCTTACCCAAACTCAGTGAATTTATATCAGGTAATGGCGGTAATTCCGGATGGATCTGAACTGCTTGGCGAACTTGTCCCACAGCATTTAATAGCTGAAACATTCAAAACACGTTACCTCCATCAGGAACACTTTTTTATACACGGGGAAAATTATTGGACGTTGAAAGCTTTTGGCGATATTAATCATGATATTCTCCGTACTATTCAGGTTATTGAACAGAGATGAGTCTTATTCCCATATTCTTACCCCTCTGTTTGAATCCCTCCATTTAGATACAGCATTTGCATCAGATGGATTAACTGCAACAAACTTTGCATCTTGCACCATAGGAGGAACGCCTTTAATAAAAAAAAACTTAATTTTTGGTCACCAATATGAAAATTTACATTACAATTTTGGAGTAAATCTGAAGTTTTGTTAACGTTCTCAATGAAATTTGGATCTTCCGAATTGTCACATTCCTGTTTAGCAACAAGAAGAACTCTATTGGCAAGTCTGGCAATTGCAGAAGTATTATCAACCATCTTCTGAGGTTGTTTGTTCTTTATGGCCTCTTCGCACAAAAATGTATGTTTTTTCATCTGCTCCTCTACAAAAAGATCATTGAGTATTCATGGTACCGAAGAAAAATATTAGATTATAAATATTTACCAGATGACTTTATGAAATCGGCAGAATCGGTGGCCTCATCGCACAAGTTCCGAACTTTAGTTAAGGTTTCGGCATATTGTTGACGTAGGTTTTCAAAATGTTCGTCAGCAGCTTTGGATGATGGGTAGTTCATTCGAATGCTACCAGCAGATATCAACTGGGGTGTTAAACTTTCCACTTGATTGGCAGCACTCTGAAGAGCTTCCGCCATTTTTTTATTGCCAGAGCTACTCCCTATCATATAAACTGCTAATTACTCAGGAGAGGTTGATCCAATTTACAAAAATTAAAAAATGTTGGATAGATAATTGAAATAGCTATCAAAGGAGCTATCACAAGACTTTGAGTGATGCAACACTATTGTCTTTCTTATCAAACGTTACCAAAAAAGATACCTTTTTACCCAAATTTTATCCGACCTTGATATTTTGTCCTGTTCAAAAGTTAAGAGGGGTGCAACTATCAACTGTATATCTTGAAATCCGTATATGAAGGTTTAGGAATGTATTAGCAAAAGTCACTTCGAATAAAAAAGCCAATCTAAAAATGTAAAAATATACATTAGAAATAACTGATTCGCACATGAGAATTTGTGTTGAAGGAAAGATGTCTGTAACACACTTAGTACAAGTGATCTTTGATTTTGGTTAGTTTAGTTTTTGTGTTCCTCAAAATATTTTAGAATAGATTGCATTCATTCATAGCATTTATCAGATACGTGTAGTGATTCCCAAAATTTGGGTAACCGCACAAGAAATTGAGTATGATTACAAATAATTTGAGAAAATAATGTAGAACTACTTATTCAAAAGTATATATCTGTAAGTATATATCTCACCAGCTGCTACCATTTTAGCGGTTTTCACTGCTCTGTTTGAAAACTGCTGTAAATTAGCGGCTTTATCAGAAAAGTTTTGATCCCGGTTAGCTGAACCTTCAGGTACTAAAACTGCTTCGGTGAATTGCTTCAGAGGAGTAACAATATCAATGAAATCTTCAACAACCCTGTTTACCACAGCTTGGTTGATTTTTTCTTTGAGTTCGTGCAACTTCTGAGATAATCTTCTTGCTACTTCCTGAGCTTGTGGCGAGTTACCCTTTCCTTGGACACACAGATCAGATAATTGGCGAGAGAGGGAATCCACTTCATCACATAATTGAAGGATTTCAGCTTTTTGGATTCCTGGTAACCCATCTGCAACCTAGAAACATATGAAATAGTGTGTTCATATAAATCTTGCATTGGGGCTAATTACTTTTCGGCCTTCTCCAACAACTGCTGTTATAGCCCTACGTCCAAGACCTCTGTCATCCTGGCCTGGATTGGAGAGCCATTTCCGTGCCTGTTCTAACCTGGAATTAACATTGATGTGTTGAATTTCTGTTCATTGAAAATTCAGGAAATAAAATTAACTTTAATTTAATTTACCTTCCTTGCGCAGTGTGAGCAGTTTGTTGTAATCCAGCCTTATCCACAGCAACAACGGCATTCATAACAGACTGCTGAAGTTGTCCTAGTTTTTCTCGAATACCCCTTGCTAAAGATTCTGCCTGAGGGCTAGCACCCTTACCATCCTGACGAAGTTCGCATAATGCATCAGTCATAGTTGTCAGGTCAGAACAAAGTTTGTTCACATTTTCTGAATCGTGCGGAAGACATCTGGAATAGCATTTGTTAATGTTGATAAATTAAAATTCAGTGATCCAAGAATCGCTGGATGTTTGGGACAAGACACAAAACTTTTTGTAGAATGTATATCTTATTATGCAGTTTATAACAATATATAAAACTTTTGTAAAATACAAAAGGTATTTATTCATCAAATGACATACCTTTCAGCAACTTTTTGTGCAGCATCAATAATCTGTCTTAAGGACTTTTCTCCCACACCACCTTTCACGGCATTCGGATCCTTGAAATAGTTTCAGAATTTCAGATAAGTTTAATAGAAATAAAGTATGACTTACAAATAACCAGTCATTTGCCGCATTTGTTTTATTGGTTATTGCATTTTGCAATTTCTTCAATACAGTTAAATTATCCAATTCTGACTGTTCTTCATCATAACTGGTCAGCTGTAAAACCCTAATAATCTCATTGATTTCATCTGTCATTCTCTGGGTCAGATAGTTTCTGTTTTCCGCAGCTTCTTCAGCACCTTTTCCTCCCTGAGATACTATATGTATGTAGATTTTCATTGAACAAATCAAAATTGGGGCCAAAGTTTTCACTTGATCTAGACATCTCACTAAAATCTCTGCATGAACCTGAAACAAGTTAAATTCATTCATTTCGAAATGAAATTTACCAATCCTATATATATGCACATTTTCATACTGAAAGGCAAAGAATTCGCAAATTTGCTGTACAGAAGCAATTACAAAACAGAACATTTGCTGAATCATATAGGACAGGCAGTTTCCTAATGTTACTATTCCATAACATATTCCATCAAATCATACAGTATTAAAAAATGACATTTTCATAAAGCCTATCACCATAATAAAATGAAAATGAAACAGCACTTAATCATCTCAGGGGAATCTCAAACAAACGGCACCAGGGAAAAGTTCAACTTCAGATGTCACAAGATAGTCTTTGAAAAATCATGTGTTTCTAGCACAAATACCCATTTATCAGATTGCAATCTTTACGAATACTAGAATAAGTTATGATTATTAAAAGAAATAATAAACGACTATTCAGAAGTTTAATGAACAATCTCTTGATGAAGTCGTCTAATTGCTATTTTTTTGAATTTTAAATATGACAAATGAAAAAGATCAAGTTCTGAAAAGTATGTATTGAAATTTTTTTGAAGCCTTCAACTTATTGCCATCGAGCCATAGTTAGTCTTGTGGAATCGCAACCCAAATGAAAAAATGCGATTGCTTCTTAAGGCTCTTGAGTTAACAGAAAGGCAGAGGTCATCTAAAATAGCTGAACAATTGTAGTGGAAGTTTATTATTTTATGAAGGAATAGAACCATTGCAAGTTTACGTCTGTCCTCAAGTGATAATAAATCTAATACAGACAGCCTCATTTGCGAGGTAAATCCAAAGTAGGGTAGGCCAAGTTTCCAAATTATATATTTAGAGAAGCGATTTTGCACTTTTTCAAGTCTCTCTTTATGACAAGCATAAAGAGGACACCAAATAACACTATTATATTCCAAAATACTCCGAACCAGTGAAAAGTATAATGTCTTTATAGCATCATATTCTGTAATATGCTGGGTATTCCTTTTGATGAATCCGAGCATTCTGAATGCTTTATTACAGATATTATTGACATGATCAATAAAGCTTAGATTTTTATCGAAAGTAATTCCCAAATCGCACAAGCTTTTGACAGTTTGAAGAGTTGCATCATTAATGGAGTAGTTTCCAATGACAGGCTGTCTTATTCTATAAAATCTCAACACATTACATTTCTTAATGTTAACTTTTAGACAATTAGTTTCACAGTAGGTAGGTTTTGACGTGGTGTTTTTTAATAGTGATTCAAGAGGAAGACTTATATGCATATACCATGCAATGATAATTTTAGAAGGAGAAACAATGATAATTTTAGAAGTTTCTAATGTGATGTCATAAATAAACACATTTTTGTGCTAACATTGCAAACGCTGGCTGAACCCTACGAGATAGATCAAAATAATGTACAGTACTGTACATCTTAAAAAGGTCTACAAAAAAGTTTGCGATGGTATATGTCTATCTCACAATAACCATTTTTTATTTAATCCTTTTTTATGAAGTGATTTTAAGCAATACAGGATTCATCCTTATGCAATTGAGTACCTTAAATACATTTTGCATTCAATATACATCAATATGGCCATTTACAGCATGTAATTTAAAAGAATATCAAGATATGATTCATAATGCAGAGACATAGCAGTTGCGGTGGTAACAAACGGGGCCGGCGGCGGGTGCCTATAAATAACATGTGGAAGGCTGCGCTTCGCCCCATAGAAGCAATTGCACGCGTTTATATGTATGTTTAGTATCAGCATTGCAACCGTACGGAGCCGGGGCGGTTCGCTAGTGTTCTTATATTCTGTGAACATGCTACCAACTTCTGAAAGCAGCTGTGAGTTGTTCTTCAGGTGCAATATGATGGAGAGGGAGTCTATTCAGTGTTGTATTTTTTCACTATCAATTTATATAAATGAGATGTTTCTTGGTAAAATTTCTTTACAGTAGTATTATGAAATTTTCCAAATTCTGCGAGACAATTTGCATATATGATGATGTTATAATTAAGGGAAATTCTAATTTCATCAGTTACATTTCTATGCATTTGAATATGCTTATGCTTATTTCGATATAAGGATTATGTTGACTTGTAGATGCATGCACATCTACAAATGGTGTAGGAACTAATACAATAATTAATTGAAAAAAAGATCATACTTTAGGAACACACTCGAAAATGAATTAGGAGCTCATTCTTTTCAATATTGAGACAATTAATTAAAAAATTATAAATTTACGAATAGATTTATGCTGTTTTTCAATATTGTTATCGCTTTTATACAAAAAGTAAAATACATTACAGAACCGTAGAAAAGTCTTACGGTTTGATTGTATTGGCACATTACATCATGCTTCATATTCGTTATGAAGTATGCATAACTTATTGTCATTTTCTATCGATATTTGTTTATTAAAATATAATAATCTTAAAAAAAAAAATTATATGGTGACGAAATACCTGGTGAGTTAGCTCTTTTTCTCTGGCACTGACTTCTTTAGATACTCTACTTAGACAAGGGCTTAAATCCCTCAGAAACTGTACTAGTTCATCTAGAGTTTCTATAACTTCAGCAACTGCAAGGTAATCAAGGACCCTATGGCATTCCCTGATGATTTTCCTAACCTCAGATTCATCAAAACAAAGTAGCAGGGCAGAAGTGGCCTGGAATGAAATCATGGGATCTGCTATCTGGTCAATAAAACAGTCATTTATGTATTTACCTGTAAAATGCCTCCACTACCTTCGATCAACCGTTTTCTTGCAGGAGATGAGAAGGGGTCTTGCTTAAGCATATCACTAGCTTCTTCCAATAGTTTTGATGACCTTTCCACTCTAACGAGGGCAGATGGCATGTCTTGACGTAGAATTGGGTCATCGGAGCTGTTGATTGTATCTCTACCAACCTAAAAAGGATAGTTTATAACATCAAAATTGAGAAAGTCATAAAAAACAGAAAGGAATGAAGTTATTGCAACACTGAATATATTATGTTGATAATACTGATAAAATACTAATACAATATATGTATTGCTGAATAGTACTGTACTCCCTAGAGGTGACTGAAACCTAACAAGGGATTTTTTCCCACTTATCTTGAATAAAGTTGTAAACTTCTGGTACATCGAAGAGTTTAACTTAAGAAGTTCAAATTTTAAATATTGTTAGTTTGGCTTTGAAACAGGTATTCCTCTGCATTTTACGAGAAAGATATTTCAGTTTCATGGTTCTATGGCTAATTACTAAAGAGTCCATTTTATGGATGTGGGCGAAATTCCATCTTTTGACACCACATATTGTTACAGTACATATAGGTTGAGGTCCTTCAGATAATGTGTTCATGACTTGAGAAATCAAGTGATTCGTCAAAACAAATTCTGATGTTCCTATCACATTTAGAAGGTGTTGTCTTATTGAATCTAACCAAATGGCATATAATTCATTTACCGTGTTAGGAATCACACGTTAAAAGGTAAGACCTCGTTATTCCTTAGCTTGCACAAGTTTCTCACCTTCTGAGAGTTTTCGATCGTATGGGGGCGACAGCTGATTAACGGAAAAACAGATTTTAAACAGATTTGTTTTAAACCTCTAGGTAAGATTTTTTTTTCAGAATACTTATCCCTGGAAGCTATTAACTAATTGACCAACCACAATCTAATGGCTGATTAATACAGTAAACTTTAACTTTTACTTCAGTAAAGTTGTCACAATGTAAATTTGTAGGAGCATACATACGCCATACTTTCGTAAAGTTAAACCTAAAGTAAAATTTAAAGTTTAGTTTATCACCTCATGAACCAGCCATATATGGTTTATCAAACTGTGTTTTTAGACACTCATGTTTTTGCTGAAAAAAACATTTCTTTCACAATATTTATGTTTCAGAAGAATGCTTTGGAAATAAGATCATTCAATCAATGAATTTATTCAATTCACATACATATACATACACATATTCACATACATATACATACACATATTCACATACATACTTCTTTGAAAAATCATGAAATTTACTTTTTTCTAAAAGTCAATAGCATCAACCACTGAGAATTTGGTGGTAGATTAATGTACTGTTTTCAGTCATCAGGTAGAGTTCAATTATTGATTTTCTTGAATGCTAACTATAGATTGAAACGACTGAAAAAGTTTGTTACGGGATTTAAAAAATAATTTCAACACTTACTTTGACCAAGTTTAAAACAGCATTGCTGACTGACCTAACTGGTAGTTGAAGGTCAGGCATAGGTATGCCATCCTCAGCTTCCTCATGTAGGATAACCAATTTGGATACCTGAAACAAATAAAATGTATCGATCAATTAAAATGAAATTGATGTGAAACAACAATCATTTCAATAACAGTTGTAAACTGGACTGAAGGTATATTGAAGTGTATCAATTGTAAATGTGTGTACAAGGTCTGTTACTTTTAAAATATTTAATTATATGAACTTATACACTTTCTATTTCTTGATAATGAAACCTGTTCAGCCTAGATTTTTACTTCTTAAAGGAAAGTCTGTTTAAGCGAAGATATTCAAGTGTAACAAGGGCATTTCTGCAAAACCAGAAACAGAATATCAAGTATGATCTGGGTAGAGCGTGGGAATTCAGTAGTTACTATAGATTTGACAGTTCTCACTCTTCACACCGATATCTCGTCAGTACCGTGATGTTACATTATGAATGGATGTAGGCTAAGAACCCATATGATGAACATATCAAGAGCCAATGCATAGTGGTCAAAGACACTATTATGGCAGGCCATGATAACTGAATTCAGAAAGCTTGACCTGAGAAATGTAAAGGTCACATGCTTTGATGAGTTGAGGTCTTGTAAATTGACTTCAGTTCCTTTGACGTGGGCTTATCAGGTTTCCACCTCAGTTTCCACAACATATGTTTAGTCACCTTGTTCACTGTCAAAAACCAAGACTAGCTCATTGACCACTCGGGTTACTGCCTTGAAGAAAAATGCTCCAGACATTGATGACTTTACAGACTTGTCAGGACCAGTCCGCTATGAAGTTTCTGTCTGAACTCATAGTTTTCCTGTCAAACAGTGTGAAGTTGGCAGCCACTTCGATTCCAGCAACCAACTGACCAGTGGCTTCGCTGGAAAATCGATACCTCTCAACATAGATTTTTGTTATAGGAAAAATTGAAATTTACATGGCACGTCAAAATACACTCTTTTAATACTTCCTATTGAATTTTGATATTCGCAAAAGATGTGTTGGGAAATACTTAATAAACTTTCTTCATTAGTTTTAGATTTTTGTTTGAAGGTGGTTGACAATGTTTCGTGGTGTATTTCATCAGTTCGGACTTCCATTGTCTAATATAATATAAATTGATTTGAAATCCCTGAAAAAAATTGAAGAGATTAACCGAAAATGACAATTTTATTAAACAAAAAACTGAAATTATAAAGAAATAACACAAGCTACAACCAAAAAATTGAAATATTAGTAAAAGCTGGAAATTAAAAATATTATTAACAAAAAATGGAAAATAAAAATTAAGATTCCAAACCAAGTTACGTCACGACGTTTCGATTGTTAGTAGCCACAATCGTCTTCGGGTGATAATTGGACTTATTCCTCCGAGATCTGACTATTTATAGGTCATTCGAGTGCTTTCACCTATCCTAGACTCGGGGCTTCTTGTGGGCTTCTTCAATGGCCAGAGTTTCAAACCACTCCATATATATATTAGCTATAACCGGTGAAAGTGGCGATCCCATTGGCAGTCCCTCATCTTGCGTAAATAATTCGTCTTTCAGTTGGAAGTAGCAGTTACGTACACAGCATCCTAGTAATTCCATGATTACTTGTATCGGTAAGTTTGTTCTATCTTTCGGGTCCCCATCTTCGGATAGCTTTTTCTGTATGATTTGAAGTGCTTCTTCGACAGGAACGTTGGTATAGAGGCTTTCCACGTCGAAACTGATCAGTTGATCCAGTTCTTTGACTTCGATTTCCCCGTAGTTCAACGAAATACCTTGAATTTTTCATAAAAGATGATGTTTTAACTTGCAATGGTTTAATTATTGGTATTAAAAATCTGGACAAGTTCTGAGTGGCTGAATCTCTGTAGCTAATGATCGGTCTGAGCAGAACATCCTTTTTGTGGATTTTGGGTAGTCCTTACAAGTGAGGGGGCTCACTGTGGTACGGTGTTATCGATGATTTCTCTTTTTCCGAAAAATAGACGGTGTTATCGATGATTTCTCTTTTTCCGAAAAATAGACTTGGTGTTTTTTCAAAGTCTGGTACAACTTCCTTTCAATTGATGCAGTAGGGTCTCTTACGATCTTCGTGTATTTTCCTTTCTGAAGCACCTCTTCGATCTTCTGCTCATAGAGATCAGTATCCATCACAACAGTAGCGTTTCCCTTATCTGTAGGTAAGATCTTGATGGTGTTGTCTATACGTAGCCCGTTCAGGGCTCTTCATTCTTCATTGCTGACGTTAGAAGTTGGAACTGGTTCTCGATCTAGCTGTTCTCTGATTTTCCATCTGAATTCTTCTACCTCGATCTGATCCATAAAGGATCTGGTGGATTCTACTGCAGTTATTATTTCCAAAGTGGGTACAGATGTTAGTGCAATGGCGAAGTTTAGAACTTTCCTCAACAAAGATTCCTCTACGTCGGTGAACTCATCAACATGAGTTCCCGCCCGCTCACGGACGTAGAGGATTAGTATGAGAGTAATTTATATAAAAAAACTCTGCAAAGGGGTTGAGGGGGCTATTCCACTCTCAAAAAATAAATATCGATATAAATTCATTGAGACAAATACTTCCAGTTTGAAATAAACAGTAAGAAACACCTTAAGAATATTTCATGTCAATTTCATCACTTTGTAAAAGGGATGAGTCACTTCCTAATAATAAAAATGCCACTTATGACCTTTCAGAAAGAATACAGCCCACTTGAAATTCACAAGATATGTTAGAAGGCAATATATAAAATTTAAAATAAATTTGGGGTAAATTTCCCCTTGAATAAACAGAATAACAATAACATTTCATAAAGTGATATTGATATTGATGAATGCAATTGAGATGTCTTTCAATATATCCTGTGATATTCAAGCTGGCAATATTTTAATTGAGAGAATCATGTCTGAGGAGGATAACATTTCCTTATCTCCTTTGCAAATAGATGAAACTTAGGAAATGTATCTAATATATCTTTCAAACCATCCGGTGAATTTCAAGCTGGCAGTATTATAATAAAGGAAATGTTATCATTTCGGGGGTAGATCACACCTCCTTAGCCTCTTTGGAAGTTATTGAAATTAACATAGATTTCCTGTAAATTTCAAGCCGGTATCATTCTGAAAGTTCTTATGTCTGGACTTCATTATTCAGGGGTACATTGAACACCTTCATCTAATTTTGTAATTATATAGATAGAAATGTTGAGAATGTTCAATGTATCTCCTGTGTTTTTCAAACTGAATGTTTATATGAAAGGGCTTAATTATTTAGGAGGTGGTTTACACCCCTTATCCCACTGCAAATTGATGGAACTACCAAGAAAGAGATCTGGGAAGTCTTCAAATATATCCTGAGAATTTTGTTTCAATTAACAGATTAACTGTACCGATTGCAGAACTTTCTCACCCCCTTTGCAAATAGGTGATATTGATGAATTAATTAAGAAATTCATGTATGAATATAATCATTCAGAGAAAGGGTACCCTGTGAATTTCATGCTGGCAAGGACTTGTCTGCTTTCATTATTCAGGGGAAGATTACACCCCCTCTTTCCTCTACAAATGAAAAAAAATGTCATAGAATGTTTATTTTTCCCAACACACCCTGTGAATTTCAAGTTGGCAGTATTTTTATGAAAGGACTCCCATCATTAGGGGAAAGATTCCAGGGGAATTCCCCAATACACTCTGTGAATTTCAAGATATGAAGTACGGTTTTTATTATAATAAAGTGAAGTAGGTACACCCCTCACCCCTTTCGCAAATTAATAAAATTAATATGGAATATTCTTGAGGTATCTCATAACATACCTTGTAAGGTATGTTAGGAGATCTTTTTTATTGCGATTACATGTCATGAGTGGTGTTGTTCCACCCGAAGTTAATTATATAGCATAGATTCGGCATCCAGAAGGTGAAGGATGTTTTCGTCTATAAACCAGAAATCACCTGAGAAAATGCACAATGAACTTGTGAAACATTGCATGAATTCAAGTTCCTTGCAGCACATGATTCAGGCTCTAGAGAGTCATGTGCAAGTCCTCCCGCAACCAGCTACCTCTCTTTGACCCTCTCTGCTCATATGGTTCTTCAGATATTGGCTGAATTGTGAAAGGCTTTCGAATTTATAAGATGCTGGTAAATAAATTGCAGCCCAAACTGCAGCATTTCAGCTTCTTTGCAATCAACAATTCATTTTTAAGCGGTAAGAGTTTTTCAACAATGAATGTGGAGCCTAGCCATGCTTATTATTAATATTTTTCTTTTTATATTATTGAATTAATATCCATTTGATAATCAATCAATTGTATCTAGTAATATCTGCATGTATTACCTAATTTTGAAGTTTCTAGTTTAATGTGAGTGTAGGTGTGAGTGTTGTTATATTTTCCAAGGAATTATCATAAAAGTGGGCATAACATACTTAGTGAAATAGCATTTGAGCATAAACAATCAATGGTGTCACAACCTTATTTGGCGAGAGGAAAATGTTGAACGCAATAATTTTATTTTCATTAGACTTAAATACAGGCAGGTTTATGATGCATAAAACAAGATCAAAAATAATGGATATGAATTGTCAAAACAAAAACACAATTGATTAAGCACAACTTTAGTTTATCAAAGCCTAGGACAACGCCTACTTATTTGTAATTCTATCAATAACAAAAGGAAATGAGAATTTTTCATAATGATAACTATAATGATAACAGATATGCGTATTGAAAGGTTGGGTCGTTTCAATTATGTCATTTAGAACCTGGGCTAAGTTTAGGATATGTTGACATTTCCACAATTTTAGGAAAACAATGACTAGTGAGCTAAAAATAATATAAAAAAATCGTGAATAATAGAAACAAAATCAAGTTACCTGTTGTGCAACTGGATCCAAAATAGATTCAATTGTTTTTGTATGAAAAACGGGCATTTTCACTTGTTTTATAAACAAAAATCAACAAAGCAATAATATATTTTAATTAATGATTCAATGAATAAATTAAATTTTGACAAAAAGAACGAATAAAGTATTTTGAAGTAAATGTCAGACTCTTAAGAAGACATCTGAAAGTCTCAAAGATCGAGATAATAATATAAGAAAATTGGAAGAAGTTAAAAATAGATATAACCCTACCTTTATTTTGTGCCATCTAGGTTAAATCATGAAACTACTCAATCGGGCGGTATTTTCAAAAGAGAATAACAGTACAAAATTCCTTTATACACATTCCGTAACAGGAACGGATTGAGGACGTTTAGATTCTAAGAGATTTGAATATCCAAAATTCTGCTAATTCTGAAACTTCAATGATATTTATTAATTTATTCGTCATTTTGTGATATACATATGATATTAATATTTCGAGCTTGTAATGGGACCAAAGCAAAAAATAAGAAAATCGACGAAAATTCAAATAGTTCAGGTAGGTATACCACGGAAAATACGGACGGATTTTTTTCAATTTAAAACGTTGTCGAAGAGGTAACAGCTAACGCTTTCCTAAATTTGGGCCAGATGTCAAGTGTCAACTGATACATTTCTGAAGCATCATCCAGTAAATTTAAAAAATGACCGTTGCCAGTCAGTTGTCTTTGGAAACTGGTGGGGAAAGAAACCAAAACAACATGGTCCTCTTGTCCCACTTCTGATGAAAACACCCTCTTAATTTCCATTACAACTTCAACTGGATTATGAAGAGATTTCAGAATAGACGATGGGCTTTTCAAAAAATAGTTCGTATGTCAATTTCGTAAACAGATCTTATTTTTACTACAATTTCCAACAAAGTCAATGTACCTACTGAATATGAATTCTTTGAATTTTTTCGAAAATCAGAAATCAATTTATTCTTGAATAAAATAGACATTACTACCATTGTCTACTAATATCAAACCTTATCTCATGTGTAGAGCTATCAGATCACAATTCAGCTCTTACCGAGTTATCACCACAACGAATGAAAATATCCAGTGACGTATTGTGTGCTTTTCTTGGAGGTGACAGATTTGAAGAACCCTTATATGTATTGCATAAACAATTCACGAATAACTTTCAAGTTACACAAAAATCTGTTGAAAATCTTCTTTTTTATGATTTAATTAATTCTTTTGATGGAGCATTTCCCCTCCTTAGAAACAACTATCTGTCATTCTTGATAATTCATTTCAATATAGTCAGGTTGTAGCTGCATTTTTTTATTAATACTTTTCTCCAGGCTTTTAATTACTTTCAGATAACTTTCTGCGCTTGGAGTACAGCTATTAATGTCTGAGTAATGTTTTCTAATCCATACTCGCAGTTCGCCCTACGATAGTATATTCATCTCTATACTATGGCCCTACTATCAATATATATATATAGACGTTAATGAATTTTGAATATATTTGTTTCCTTTCAACTTTGTAATCGATTATGTTTTTTAATACGATACCTACTGATCTCAATTCACCTTTCCATTTCCTTAACCTAAGATTTTTATTTAGGTAACTTTCAATTATTTCTGTCTAATTTTTAAGCTATGAACTCTTATCTTTCACAATGAATAGGTATTAATAGTCGTCACTGTATCTAAACTCCAGTTAATTAACACCTTATTGATATCTATATTTCACATTTTGCATCCCCAAGAGACTTGTGTCATTTTTTCGGCCCTTATCTCAGTTTGGCAGCATTCCCAGAAGAAAATTATTCATTGGAATTATTAGAATTTGGCAAGCGTTTGAGATACCACAGTCGAATACATGTTTTCAAAAGATAATATTTTTTGTCTTTCCGCCTTTATCTTTCCATTTCCGTTAGATAGACGCCATCATTGACGATTCTTCGTCAAAATCAAATTCAGTAATGAACCAGCTATCTTAGCAGCAATAGTGTTAAAGTTAAAGTGAAAATGAAGTTTTGTTTGATTTACTTGATTTTGTTTGTGAGTTTTTATTGTGAGTTGGTGATGGTCGTATCAACTAGTAAGTTTATTTTGTGAAATTAAACATCACAAAAATAGTTATCAAAAGTCGACAATGCCCGGCGGAACACAGCTGATAAGCCAATGCAAGTGCTACGAGAATTTATTTGAGTGATACTCAGTAGAAGTTTACTTTTTAAATACTTTTTATAGAAGATGTTTCATAAAAGACTAAACTTAATATTATCAAAAATTCATTGTTTGACATTTTGAATTAAAAGTTGAAAGTTGCCAGTAGAAATATGTAAAAAAAAAGTTAGGTATAAAGAAATATCCAAAGCAACCTATGGGCGAACCTGGCCGCTGTCACTCACTAGGCTCTATCACTTCAAAAGTGTAAAAAGCAAATTCACCATCACTGAAAAGTTCTTTATGAATGCTTTTAAGTGAGACTCAATAAGGTCAGCAGTTTGCCTTATTGGTATCTCTTGTTAGGTAATTCCAGGGTACCGTAGATAAGTTTAGTGTCAAATACATTTTGGTATTTTCCTTGTACAGAGGCACTTTAAAAACATCTTAAATAACACAAATTATCAAATATTCCGTCTTGCCCAATAAAGAATTTCAGACAATAAGTTTTTTCTAGAGTATTGTGGAAAAAGATTTTCTGATTCTTAACGAATGATTAAAACGAATTTCTTCGTTCTCCAAACAATAATAAAGCCTATTTTTTCAAAGTCTTGTCTCATATTTGTAAAGTTGTGCGAGGCATATATTGATCCTCAGTTATTGAGAACGAATGAGATGTAATTTGGATCGGGTTTTATAAACTTTGAATCTGAAATGATCCAATAAGGAAATCTAATGGGATAGAATTCGGAGAACTTGGAGCCGCTCCGATAGGTCTCTTTTTCTCAACTCAATAATTACTGTAATGAGCATCTAACAATTGATTTGCAGGGCTTCAATAGTACAGTGAATCGCCATCTTATCGCTGAATTTCCATCTAATCAACAATCCAAGGTTAGAATTTTATCGGTAATTAAGGGTAATTTCTAGCCCAAACATTAACTTTTTGAGAATACTAAGTGTGTTTATCCCAAGAAGATGCGAATTTTCATAAATCCAATATTGATGGTTTTTTTTAGTGACTAATACAAATGTTTTTATAGTACTGGCCACAAAGTCAATTAAGTTTGTTACTTTGCTGTCAGGGCATCGCCATATATTTCCTGAAAATTTTCATTCCGCTCAGAAAACTTATAGCGCTCTAGGATTTTCGTTATAGAGGGAATTCATTGCAAAGTTATTCCAATGCTTCTATCACCGCAGCTTTGAGTACTTGGGTATTAGAACTGGAATAATGTTGAAGTACTGGGACAATTGGCAATGAATCTCCAATTGTCGTTGCGACAAGCTGGAAAAGAACAATAACTTCTCATGAACCGATACAAAAATTGAGAATTTTGCGACAAGTAGATGACGATGACCTTGACAGAAGAATATTTTGCAAACTGGTGTTGAGCCTGTAACCATAAAATATTTGTTTTAGTAATGAGTGTACTTTTTTGGTGATTGGATAAATTAACAAGCAGAATTTGAGCAATGAAAATACTTTTTAGGATGTAAGCATCCCTCAAAAAAATTAATTTTGAATTATAGAATCCTTATTCAAGGTTAGTTCAGATGCATCTCAATATTTAAAATCGACTCAATCCGAGGAATTTCCATTACACCGTATTATTATGGATTTTCTTCAATATAGATCTGTTAGAGAAATCATGATAAGAGAAAACTCATCAGGTACTTTACTTCTGCAGTAAAGATACAAAATATGTTATTATGGAATATACCTATCTATAAGTTAAACTTGAAACGGGATTTTTTTAAAGAGATGAGTTATTGGGAAAAAAGTATTTTGGCTCTCTATACTTCTCAATTTTGAACTTGATTGCTTTCTCCCTGCATTTATAAGTTTCCCACATTTTTTGTATAAAAATGGAGAAGTAGAAAGCCAAAAAACTTTTTTCCAAGAAGTATTTTTACTAGTATATCCATCTATCTATCCATCTTTCCATGTTAATAGAGGGATACTTTTTTAAAAGTAATTTTATCGTAGCTGTGACGGTTCACTAGATATTTAAAATTTTATATAATCTATACCTATAAATTCGAAAGTCTCTCATTTAACACTAACTCATTCATGTCTGTTTCTTTGTACTGTTTAGTCCTAAAAAGGGGCACGTTTATCCCGATTTGGAGATTGTAACTTTCAAAATGATATCACAATAATTTGTTTTATTTGAACCTTTTCCACAGGAACCGTATGCCCGTCGATATCTATCAAAAACGGAATGGTCAGAAGACGTGGCAAAGGGAGAATGGTGAAATTCATTTGCAATCGCACATATTTACTAGCTGGAGAGAGACACAGTACTTGCAGTCATGGAAAATGGGATCCGTCACCACCAAAATGTGTCCGTGAGTACTCTAGTTTGATTTAATTTTTTTTTTTGATAGATTTGAATGTCTATGAAAGGTGGAACTGCAACATCTGGCGTAGAATGAATCCAAGATGGGGACTGCAAAACTCCCAAGCGGCATCCACCAACCAAGTTGGCGTCTTCAGGAGATGGAGTAAACTGATTGGTTTGGAATTAGTGAATTGATTGGTTTGGAATTAGTTTATTTCATTTCTTAAGTACGCCAATTTAGTTGGTGAATCAGGTGTCGAGAAAAGTGTTGCATGTTGATGACCTATTCATTTTGTAGAAATCCATATTGAATATAGTGTTAATTGACTACATTGTACAATAATATAACTCAACCTTATTTCACTGTTAATACAACCAAACACTTTAACCAAAACTTCAACTATTATTCAAATATCTATCTCTCCTTACGGAATCGCTTCCGCAGGTTTGGACCTGGCGACCATTTCCTTCCACCCCCGTTTCTTAAGGAAACGGTCCTCAATCCAGCTGCTGGCACTTCAGCAAGATTGATATCTAACCTCTTTTGGTTGGAAACCAGCCTTTAGGTGCTTTTATTTCTCTATCTAACTTTTCGTATTAAATTTATTGGCTTTTATTTGTCGCGGTATTCCTAACTGAATTTTTGCATGGGGGCCCCCAAAACTAACGGCGGCCATAATTGTGATTGACGGGCGTTTCTCAGTGAAGCTGAGAGAATGCGATTTGAAAGTGAGTCGCGGTTTTCCTGAAAGAGAATATATGGTTAATACACTTTAAGATATTATACTTGCCGGAGCCGCCTGACGGCGACTCGTGGGGGCGGTCTCTCGTTTTGTTTGGTCGGCCTTGGATGTTTGTCCCTTTCTCGGAACCTGGGGTCATCCATGTTCAACGCATCGTGTAGATCGCGAAACGCTGGATTTAAGTGCGATCTGATTCTATCGAACGTGCTTTCTGCATGTTCTCTCATATACACGTCCACATATTGCGTGTCCAGGTCTAGATCTCTGTAAATGAATCTGTTTGGGATATAATACGGTGCATTTACGGCGGCCCTTACGCTCGTGTTCATAAATGCTTGGATCTTCTTTCTGTATGTCTGCGCGCACTGGCCCCAGGCAGTGCATGCATACAGTATTATTGGCATTAGGATCGTTCTGATCATCAGTAGCTTGACTTTCAGTGCCATGTTAATACTACTTCCACTATCTAGGTGTTAGTCGCGCTTCATACGGCAAACGAACTCGAAACCGGTAGAGAATTCCTCAAACGTCCATCGGAGCCGGTGGAACGGTCGCGAGCGCTCGTCGAGTTGGGCGCAGTCTTGGTCACGTCACAATTAATTTATGACGACCAGCGGCGGCCGACATTATTTTTTTGGGGGGTGATTTACAACAATAGGATAAAGAAAATAACTTTTGTCTGATTTCCACTAAGATTTTTATTTGTTACGACCGGTTTCGGGTTGCTAAACCATTTTCAAATTTTGATGTTTGGGAACATTACTTATTTAGAATTGAATATCTGTATCTCAAATACCATGTCATTCCGATTTCAATAACTAAAAATAAGTCACTGCTATATCTCAATGAATAATTCGATTCCCACCGTCTTCATATATTACAGTAAGTAGAATTAAAACCAAAAGTATGTGGGTCAAATACATTTTATATAGACATTCGGTGCCTCGGACTTGAAAAGTCTAGTGTCGCTCAATATGTCAACTTGTAGATGCCTTTAAATGAAAGAAATAATTTATTTCAGAAAACACAAAGTTATATATGTCTTAAACCTGAGAAAAGATCATTTATGAGAACACAATGGTCGAATTTCAAATCACCTATATACTTTTTTTTGTTTGACTCGGCCGTTACTTGATGAAGATCTATAGTAATTTCACAAACTAAACCTAATGATTTGATCTTCACAAACTGTATACATTATAATTCTCTTAGAATAAACTAGAGGTTGACTTTGCTTTGACATTAAAGAATTTCGTCTTTTTCATTTTTTTTAGCTTTAAGTATAGAATTTAATGAATTTTATTCAAATGCAATAATCAAGTAGTATAATAAAAAAAGTAAAATATCTACAAGTGAATTCAAATGACCTGTAGGTATACATCATAATTCCTTTAGAATAAACTGGAAGTTGACTTTACTGTGGCAGTGAAGAATTTCATTTGTCTCAGTTTTTTTAGCTTTGAATATATAATAAATTTCATTTAAATGCAATAATCTAGTAGTATACTTCTGATGTACTGTTTGGAACCTTTGGTATAGTAATGGATATTACTGGAGTTTTATCCCAACACCAAACCGTTATTTAAACACCTCGACATGTGTTTCGATCACCAAGTGATCATCTTCAAGAGGAAGATTAAACAGCTTAATATTCCTCTTGAAGATGATCAGTTGGTGATCGAAACACGTGTCGAGGTGTTAAAATAATGGTTTGGTGTTGGGATAAAACTCCAGTAATAATCATCAAGTAGTATGATCAAACAGAAAAATATCCTTAAGTCTATGAAATGAGAAAAGGTTGCCCACAACACATATTTGTAAGGAACTTCACAGATGATTGTTTTGCAATTTTTTTTTCATTTTCCTAACCGAAAAAATATAATTTACATATTGTCTGATTTTTTTGTAAAATTTATAGGTCCAACCTGTAAAGCATCTCCTTCAAAACAAAGTAGTGACCTCGTTTTGATCTACCCTACACACAATGGAGCAGTCCAGCATTTTTTCTGCAAACCGGGTTATATTTTAAATGGACCAAGTGATGTCTATTGTGATGGCAGTAAATGGGACAACAACGTACCGACATGTTTAGGTAGGTTTGTGACTCTACATTGTCAACAGACATACTCACAAGATAATTTTGAACTAAACAATTTTTTCTTTTTACTCATTTTCTTGCAGTATTGTAGTTAACAAGTAAAATATGAGCGATTGCTTATTGAAGTCATAAAGACGCATCAAAATGTATGTTGATGATTTTACATCACACAAAAAATTGCCGTTTTCATCAAGAAATTTAAATGAAAAGGAAAGGCATTTAGTTTTTTTGTATAAATAACTCAAAAATTATAATTACCTCAAGAATAAAAATATAAAATTCTGAAAGAGGGGGAAACTTTCAACGCACAAGCCACACCTCTCTTAACTCTACCATTATTCATTATTTTATTTCAACGCCAAAAATAGGGCTACGCGCACTTATTGAACATGGACACATCGTCACTGAAGATATATCTCTGAAATATTTTTAAACAATGAATTCACATTGTTATCTGAATACTTCGAAGAATTAAGTCCCATCGGAAAAAATATTCACGTTCGAAGATAACTGTGTCAAAGCTATTTTCAAGGTATGATGGCAATGGTCTGCAAGTTTTCATTTTTGACGTTTCTTCTACAACTGCGGTATGCATTATCAAAGACGATGATACAACGGACGAAGTGCCTGGGTTGTTCGCATAGCAGAGTTTCATATAAGTATCAGCTATGACAACAACCCGTATAGTTCACCCGTTGCCTCATTGTCTTTTAAAATGTCCATCGCAATAGCAGACGAAACGTCATGTATACTCGTACACATCTGCAGACCACGGCCAATAAACCCGAAAAATAGGTGTGACATAGTTGAACGATTGCTGACAATTTTTTTTTGGACTTCCGTTTTTATGAATGGCTACATATAAGTTCAAATAGTAGACTCGATAAAGGTTTGCGTCTAGGAGCCATTTTTACTATTATCGTCATGGAAAATGTAATGATTTTGAAAAAAAAATCCTACTTGAACTTTTTTTTGTTGATAATAGTTTTTAATTTTTCCATTCACTTGTTCATTGAGTTGAAAATTTGTTTAAAAAAATCTGACTATCACTTCATTTTAATTTCGATAGTGATTGCAATTTGAAAAACAGCTATATTATGATTTATATCAGCGTCAGCTGCGTCTCCTTGGGTGGGTAGGGCGTGCAGTGGCAGCCTCCCACACATGAAGAAAAAAAGTTTTGTCATTTCCTTCCATTTTAAAATTTGTCTGATTATAGTTTACCCGATATCTTGAAGGAAAAATAAAGTCAGCTGACCATAACATGGTGGATTATACGTTTGCTGGCTGCTTGAACATGAAAAAAATACATTTTCAATTATTTCCTCTCAGCTCAAAATTTACCTGGTGATAGTTTATATGCTACTGTGAATGAAAATTAATGTCAGCTTGCTGTATCTCAGTGGAAAGTTTGTCAGCTGGTACCTTAAAAGCAGCATCTATTACCTACTGAATCTTATCAGCTGCTTTGGGAAATTCCCTTAACTTACAGCTAGGTGATTATTTTTATTATTTACTGTAGCATGCCAACACTCCTCTTATACATTTTGATCCGGGAGGATCATTCACAGGATTGCTACACAATCCTGTGAGGATCATTCACAGGATTGTGTATAGCAATCATGTAAATGATTCAGAATGATAGCAATCCAGGATTGTGTAGCAATCCTGTGTCAATCATTGTCAATCAGCAAGCATTATCAGACTAATGACACTTATGGTGCAATTGCTTGGTGGCCGAAGGCTTTACAGAAAACGGCCCAAGCGAAGCTCTCTGGCTTACAGAGACAGGCATGTCTGGCTATCAGGGGTGCCATCAGTACCACACCGTCAGCGGCCATGGAGATCCTTCTAGATCTACCTCCTCTCCACATTTTTCTGAAGAAAGAGGATAGATGGACTGCATAAAGACTTGTGCACATTGCCAGTTGCATAAATCAATTTAATGCAGAGTGCAACAGACTGTTGGTTGACATTGGAAGTCACAGCATTCTGGAAATGACCTCTGACGTTATGCCTCTAACTGTCAACTACGAACTGCCTTATAAAGTACTATTTCCGAGTAGAGAGGACTGGATCCTCCGGGAGAAGGAAATATTAAGAGCAGATAGTTGTTGGTTCACAGATGGATCAAAAAAACCTTCCGGGTCTGGTGCAGGTGTTTTCAGTCGCAGACCCAGGACAGAGTTATCTACCTGCCTAGGAACTTATGCGACTGTATTTCAAGCGGAAATTTACGCTATTGATTTGTATGCGGAGAAATTGAATAAATCCAACCTCACTCACAAGTCAATAAAAATATTCTTGGACAGTCAAGTGGCGTTGGAAGCTCTTGGCTCCAACCAAGCAACGTCTAAATTGGTAGCAAACTGCCAAAAACGACTCTCCTCTATAGGAAGACTTAACAGATTGTCTCTGGTATGGATTCCTGGCCATACTGGCCTGGAAGGCAATGAAGCTGTTGACTCTCTTGCAAAGGAGGGTGCTGCAAGCGGCTTCGTTGGACCAGAACCTGTCATTGGCATCGCTTTGGGCTTTGCCAAACAAACACTGAATACCTGGATGGCAAGGAGATTTATGGACTTCTGGCAGAATCTTCCAGGATTGGCTCACTCCAAGGCGTTTATTCACCCTTCGAAGCTTGATTCCAAACAGTTGTTGGACTACAGTAGGGATGAACTACGATGTCTAACATGCCTTCCTACAGGACACTGTCATTTGAATCTTCATATGCAGAGACTTGGACTGTCGGAAGACAGTGTGTGTCGCTTCTGTCTGAAAAATGATGAAACAGCAGAGCACATACTTTATGCCTACCCCGCTGGGGACTGAATCAGGTTCTTTGAGTTCGGCAGTTCCGTACTCTCATCATCTGACCTGAAAGACCACTCACCATACAAACTAATCGGCTTCGTTAAGAAGTTGGGTTTACTTGGCCGAGTGTAAGTAGGTGTGAGCCACAATAAACCCTTGTGGGTTGCGGTGGAGGGTAGAATAGACCCACTCACTTTAGACCTACCTACCTACCTTAAAAGCAGCATCTATCACCTACTGAATTTTATCAGCTGTCGTTGGGAAATTTCCTTAACTTACAGGTAGGTGATTTTTTTCATTATTTACTATAGCATGCTAACATCTTATACATTTTGATCCGAGAGGATCATTCACAGGATTGTGTATAGCAATCCTGTGAATGATCCAGAATGATAGCAATCTAGGATTGTGTAGCAATCCTATGAATGAACCTGATTCAATTTCATAACGAATGTTTGGAGTACAAACTGAAAAGGATAAGTTGTTTTTTCAAATAATTCAATGTTCATATAAAAGAAGTTATTTTGAACGTATTTTTTCTTTCGTGTAATTCAATATTTATATGAAAGTAGTTAAATTTTATTAGTTCGGACTTCCATTGTCTAATATGATTCCACTATGATTCGAAATCTATAAAAAAAACAAATTAAATCAGTTTAAATGACCACAGAGTAAAGAGAGGAAACTGAAAAGAATATAAATGAAAATAAACAAACTATTAAGAACAATAAATTAAAAAAGATTTCAAACCAAGTTACTTCACTTTACGTTCTATTGTTTAATATAATTAAATTAGCTATTCATTTTAATTTTATTTGTTTTTTTTCATAGATTTCGAATCATAGTAGATTCATATTAGACAATGGAAGTCCGAATTAATAAAATTCGCCATGAAACATTGTGAACCACTTTGAAACAAATTTAAAGTTTAAATGAGAATAACATTTTAGCCGTCAATACCAAACCAAAATTATTTTGCGATTTTGAAAATGAAGATTTATGTGGATGGACACATGATTTGAACCACGATTTCGATTGGAGAAGAGAAAATCATGACACTCCAAGTGGATCTATTGGTACTGGACCCACATTTGATCACACAAAAGGAGTAGGAGCGGATGGTAAGTAAAGGATTATGTGTTAAACTTATCTAATGTGTCCAAAATAAGGAGTACCAGAGTGGTTTTCAAATCAATTCATATTAAATTAGACAATGGAAGTCCGAACTGATGAAATACTTCATGAAACATTGTCAACTACCTTCAAACAATGTATAAAGTGTTTTTTTGATAATCTCCTGAATAATGCCAGAAAAAAAACTAAATTGACGAATTTTGTTGATTTTCGTATGTCTCCGGAACTAATCGGGGTTTTAAAATTTTGACCGTTACTCAAATAAACTCAAAACTGGGCAACATCTTTCTGATTCAATAGACTTTGTATTTCTAAGAGTTTTGCATTTTCCCATCCTCTAGTTATGATAAATCAACATTTAATAAAAAAGCATTTAACTTTGTAAACCATGAGTTAACTTCCTTTTCATAGTTTGCCTGATAATGGTTTTTGTTTGTGGTTTTCCAGCTTTCTCAAAAATCATTCACTACAGGTAACCATATATATTTCTTTTTTTTTCTCTTAGGGATTCTATTAGTTTTCTTTAGGGGTCCAGTCTTCAATTATTTTTCTCCTGAACATCAACTTCACAAAAACTACACGTATCTTCAGATTATTTATTAATACAAATTTCGGTCACCATATTTTTTCTTTCTTTATAAAAAACGTATGTAGTGACATACTATAGTATCCCCTTTTTTTACGTGTGAAAAACGAAGACCAAACAGTTAACGTTTACTTTCAACCAGAAAGAGAGAGAGAGCTGTTATTTTGATGAGAGTTTGCACTAAGACACTGAGTGCATCGAAAAGAGATAGCTATACAAATGTGAGTCATGGGTCATCCAGCTATATCAATAGCTATATCAATATTACTATCATTTGACACAGTTTACATTGATTACATGTTATTTATTGACTAGTTTCTACGGTTTTAATTATTATATACTACAGAAACCAAGGTTTTCAAAGCTATTAAACTGTGAGCATTTCAAATTCCATGTAATTATTAATTTTATTTCTGACCGGGATATTATAAGCTTATATCGTCATAGTTACGCTATCATTAAAGAGGGTCATAACTCCCTTGGGACATTATAGATTGTATAATTCCCTCTACCTTTCACAAGTAAAAATAAATAGAAATGAAAACTGAACCATATTTTATTTATTCACGTCATTACAAATAATAAATGTACAATTTTGAAATGTTCCCTGAAAATTACTTCCGCCACTGGAAACAATTTCTTCTTTTGTATGGCTGGAGCTTCTGTTCACTACAGTCGAGGTACCTGCCTCTTCTGATGACAAAGTAGACAACATAC